AATGGTGACAGCATGCACAAGACCCATGCAAACTCAAGCAGAAAAAAACCCAGAATAGAACTGGGGAAATGGGCTGTAGGCCCCAGTCTTAGCTAAAGAACTATTGGGTAGATGATTTCTGCTGAGTGAGGGAGAGCTGATCTTCTTTAAGGGAGTTATTCTAGATAGGCTTACTAGACCCCAGTGGATAAACTTGCACTGAGGGATGTCTGGGGCCACTAGTCTGACTCAATAAGCTTTAACATAAATAAAAGAATGCATGAAATTCAGTGGAGGGGAGCTATGGGAGGGTGTCAATGAGGAAGGGGGTTTAAAGATGATTAAGATGTTGTACATGAATTATACAAAAGTTCAATAAAAAATATACAAGGAAAAGAGTTGAACACCAATACCAGATATTATTTTTAAATCTGTTTCTATTTTTGAATGGGGAAATTTTGATTTACTTTTCTGTCAGTTATGAGACTGTTACAAACTTTGTCTCAAATAGTGATAGTTCCTACCACTAAGAGTTAAACACTAAATATTCTTTAATCAAAAATATTGGTACAAAGGCAGTGTGCATTCTGGCTAATTTTGTCTCTTAGGTCTTTGATAGCAACAACCTGATCCCCCAACTTGATACAGTAGCACACTCAAAACAATAAGTTCAAATTATGCTAAGTATCTATTCTAATAAAGTATCCTACCAAAAGCTACCATACATATTTAAAGGCTATCCAGTGTGCATACCCTCGGGTCATACATACACCTCAGCAACCCTTCAGTTACCTCGGTAAGTAAGCCCAGTAAATTCATTGGTTTCCCCAGTAAAACTTTAATCAAATATTGGCTTGACACTAGAACCTTAAAAGGGAATAAGTATTGCTTAACATCCCCAGGAAAAGAAGCTTCACAACCAATGGAAATTTATTTGTTAATGCTATTATGTCTCATAATTATTTTAAAAAAAGAAAATGAGAATGGAAAAGATGTTAAGAGGATATGGGAATGGAGATATTTTCCAAAATAGAAAAAATGAGAAAGCCTAAACAAGTGATGTAGGTCTGTTCAGGTTTGTTGTATATACAGGATGAGACAAAAATAATATACACATAATCTTAAAATTTCTATGGTCATAGTTTAGTCTAGTTTAAGGAACAAAATATAAATTTAGTTAATATTTATTTGAGAATATGTGGTTCTTGTCCTAAACCTTATCTACATAGCACATGATAATTAAAAGTACCAGGTTGGTGGAACTAACCTTATTGGATATTTAACAGCCATACTTTAAGGCCTATACTAATGTCATTAGAGGGACTTAAAGGACAGTTTTTGCCCCTTGCCCTCCAGGGTCAACCAAGCTCCAGGGGACTATGGAACATCTCTCAAAATGTCCTGTAAATGTGGTGAGTCACCTGTACTTTTGTTCAGGGAGGACGTGGAGACCCCAAAAGATGGACTTGAACCAGTGTCCGGTCTACAAACAGGAGGGTCAACTTAGAGGAAACATCTCATTCATGCTTCCAAGTGAAGCCAGATATGGTGAGCAGGATCTTTGACTTACCTTCACAGAGATGGAACTGGTAAAAGAAAGGAGCCAGGAGCTCCTCCCAAGCCCATGTGACCCCTGAGGAACAGATCCTCAAATGACCTTAAGTGTAAAAATAAATTGATTTATTTGGGCCAACTGTGTGGTCTTAAACATCCAAAAGGAAAGTATAACCAAAGAGTAAAGTCATCAGTATATTTCTTTAAGAGTTAAAGGGATTACACTTCCCAGACATTAGGCTTAATTCTATTAAAAATGTTACTTAGACAATTATTTCTCATTGATGATTTTGTTCCTAACCAGAAAGTGCTGCTCAGATGTAAGACTTCAAATCTTGGTCTCCAATACTGTAGTGCCCTCCTGTAGCTAAGGGGGACAACAAGCTATTGTTCTAAAATGATGGATAAATTTTTCTTCCCCTATTTAGAAGCCTTTGAGAGGGAACTGGCACTGATTCTAACTACTCCTGAAATACCTGAAAGCAAATCTTGAATCCATCACTCTAGAGTCCAGCCTTGGAAGACAAGAGAAAAATGAGGAAGAACCCCAATAGAGGGATGCTTTTGGAAGCCCTTGTCAAGAAATTCCAATGGACTCTCATATGAACATTTGAAAATTGTCCTGTTCTGACTTTTTTCTAGTTCCCTGTCTAGAACTTGTAATGTTAATTTCTCTTGCCTTTACTTCTCCTTCACATCTCAAGGACTTTCTTTTCCCCCTCTTCAGAGGGGGGGGTATGTTAGACTACCCAAAAGCCTCATAAAAATAAATAAATGAAATAAGAAAAAAATTGTATTAGGTTGGCAGCAACTCTCAAAGTAAAAGGTGAAAACTTTTGACAAAAATTCTACTTCTAGGACTTTACCCTAAAACATGAAATAAAAATAAATCAAAAAATGAAAAAACACTAACATACTTTATGAGCATTATTCTGTCAAAGCAAGGTTATGTAGAAAATGTAACTAAATATTAACAGCCCTTGTATCTTATTTACTGGACTGACTATGTATTGAACCAATAAGAATAGGGAATTTTGGAATGCTGAGCACAATCAACTAAACATTTTTGTGGCTAGAAAGAACTTGGATATCATTTATTTCAGAGGTCTCAATCAGGCAGATCAATACACAGTAATGTTTTATCTTCAGTATTATGATTCACTGCTAATATTAAATAATGGTATGCTTTATATAAAAGTGTATACTTTCAGTTCCTCCTAAAGAATGAGAATATCTGGCCCCATTTCTCATATTCATTCAGAAGCCTTCCAGTATATGATCACTTAAATTATCTGCAAGGATTTTAATTTTGAGGAATACCAACAAACTCTTTGCCATGACTCCTCCATCCTCATATCAATCATCTGGAAGCAAACAAATAATTAAAAGGAACATTATTGTAAACACTATTAAAATGAATCATTTTGTTGTTTCTCTAGTTTACGTAACATAATACTGAGCAGTACTGCTTTTTCATCTTAGGAAGACATAAATACTTCTAAGTTAAAGGCAAGGATTTGTTTTTATTTAATATTAGGAAAGTAGATAAAATTGGGTGGGGCAGGAAAGAGTACTAGCAATCAAATTCATATAAATCATATTTTCATTTAAAAATATTAATCTTCATGGTGACATAGCCTCATTGGCATTTTTTTTCAAGAAATACCTATCATTTTTTAAAAATCATACTATAGCTCTTGAAGTTTTTGTTGTAAGCTTCTCTGCTGAAGAGCTACAGTTGGATTATCAGTTGTTTGGTACAACTGCTTAAGGAAGTCTGACCATTGCAGAACCTGAGTAACACCTATTCAGGTATTACATTGCTTTAGTTGGATGCCCATAGACTGGCTCAAATAAATGGATTCTTGTCAAGATCACTTTTGGTTTGCACATGTGTAAAAATAATTCATTGTTGAAACCAACACAGGTAAGGATTGTATTTCTACATAAGGAAACCAAGGAAAGTTTAAAAAGAGAAACTCTCCCTCCTTAGCAGACAGCCTAAGAGTGCCTGATCTGGCCTCCATCTGGTGTAGGAGCTGAGAACTCAGCAGACCCCCTGAGAGCACCTGGATCTGGCCTCCACGTGGTGTAGATGGAATCCCACTGAAATGGGCCAACAGCCCATTGAAAACAGATAATGCAGAGACTCAAAAAAGTTCAGTGCCTTGCCACAATGAGAGGAAGATCATCACACACCTATTACCATCTCCAAGGCTCAGGGACTTTTGCAGAAGAGCTTGGCAGAAAGAATGTAAGAGCCAGAGGAGTGTTACCTGGAAGTGTCCTCGACCACTATACTGGCAAGCTATAGTCATATCTCCTTCCCACACTCACTAAGGAGTCCAGCGGGGAGTGAGTCAGTTACCCCTCCCACTCAATCAGTTGACCTTAGCTGCATGTGGGGGAGGAGTTAAGGCTATATAAGCCAAGATTACCATGAGGCACCTCTCTTGCCACCTGTAGCCATAAATAGGGAGGGCACTTTTCTGTAAATAAACCGTGACCCTATGCTCTGTTAGCAAGCCCAATAAACTAGTTAAGATTTTCAAAGAGAGAGAGAGAGAGAGAGAGAGAGAGAATAAGAAATAGACTTCCCACAGATTTGTGATTTGTAAATCACATTTATTATAACCCACAGGAAATTTTATGCTTAATGAAACTCTCCCTAATCCATACCTGCATCTATGCATACAGTCAGTCCCACTTCTCAGGTCCTATGTTTGTTTACATGACCATGTTATCTGCTTCCTACTGAAAAATGTTAACTTATTTTCAAGTTACTTTAGGTTAGATGAATTTAAATGAAGATTAATCAGTCTCAGTTATTTAAAAGTATGTCACAGTTTTCATTTCTCTTTAAATTAACATGCTTCCTGTCTACCAATGTGAGAATACAGAAGGCTCACCAATTTCTTTCTTCAATGCAGCAATAAGACCCATGATTAATTGTAATAATCTTGTAATACTTAACTTACTAGACCAATGAAAAATTACAGAAAAGCTATTTATTATATCTAATTATTTAAATATTAGGAATCCTTCCCTTTTCCTCAAATTGTTTGATAGCCATAGGATTCCATGTGACATACTGCCAATTAGGAACACAGTGAAATACTTTCAAGAATAAGTCTAATGCCATGGGCTCAGACCCATGAGAAAAATGGCTTCCTCAGCCTGGAGTTAGCCAGAGAGAAGCTAGTAGTCTAGGTTAATTGGGGCCTTCAGGAAAGCTTTCCTTTAATGCGCAGTGTCAAGCTACTATACTGTCTTCAACTCAGTAACTACATACTGTGGGTTCACTTAAACTAGAACACTTCTGTGTATCATTGACTTGTCATTCTAATTCTGCAATGTAAAGGCATGTGCTAAATTTGAAATAATTTAGTGTTTCAACTTTTCTTCAACTACAAATGTCTTAAATGAATTATTTCTCTCTTTTCTCACTCCCCCTATATAACTGTCCTACTCCTCCCCAGTTAGATGCCACAAAGTAGGCAGCAATGCCTTAACCGTCTGCATGTTTTTAGGCCCAAGGGCCTCTTCCATCCTTGTAAAGGGGAGTGCTAACCTCCAAAGTCCTTCATTGTTTCCCAGAACTTGAAGGTGAGACTCTATTGCTGAAGACAGGACTTACTTTGGACACAGGACTTGGAGCAATCAAGGAACTGACCTGGAAGCCTCTTCCCTGAAGACTAGTTCTCATGGTATCAAAGGATACTATACAAGCTGCCATGGGAGAAAAACAATCAATGGTCCCACCCAGTTGTAAAGCCTCAAAAACAACAATGACTGGCTTGGTAAACTATTGCTATTGATGCAGTAGTGGTACTTTTATCTTGGGGGCAATCAACAGCTGTCTAATTGGAATTAAGGCCCACTCAAAGGGAGGGAATTCATATTTAATACTATAAACATAACCAAATACATATGGCTGGACAGGTCATAGACCCTAGAGATAAATTTACTCTTGCCACATCCCTTGACTAATGTAATTTCTTACTGTATTCTAAATATGCTCTACAGACAAATGTACCTTTCACCCCTCATCAAAGAAGCTTTTTTCTTTCAACAGATGGAGTCTACTACAGAGTTCTACAACTGATCAAACACAGAGAATAAGGATCTGTGAGATGTTAAAAACACATCTTCAATGCAACCTCTACATATAGAATGAATGCATCTCTCAGATCTCACCAAGAAGTTTCTTTGTGCAGCAGATGATGATTGATGCAGAAACCTACAATTAGCCAATGTACAGAGAACAAGAGGCCACAAAATGAATTTCAAACCTATTTCACACCTATTTTAAAACTTTGCTTCCTGAGGCTCAGGGACCATTAAAGAAGAAGAAGTAGAAAGATTGTAAGAACCAGAGGGGTTGGATGACCACAGGAAAATAGAGTCTTCCAGACAACTGGTCATTTACTCATATGAACTCACAGCAGTGGCAACAGCACTCACATGTCCCCTGCAAGCTCAAACCAGACAAAATCCCAATGTAGACATAAGGAAATAGTAAAAACTCCCAACTCAATCTAAGGAATTTTGGCAATTAATAGCTGCTAGGAGGTAGAAAGACAGTGTCTTACAGGGATGGGACTATTGGTAGGTCCAGTGGATGGACTCACACTAAAGGACATTTGAGGACACAAATTAGATAAGAGAGAGAGAACATTAAATTCAACAGGGGACAGTGGGAGGAGGTGTGGGGAAGGGATATAAATACCATCTAACTATATTGTATGAAAGTTGCAAAAATTCAATTAAAAATATCTTATAAAACCAAGCATAATAATGATATCTTTGATGAGAATGAATGACTATTGAATGCTCAGCCATAAATAGATATTTTTATCATGGCCTTCAAAGTGAAAAGAATGAAACATTAAATCATTGCAGAAGAGCAGATGGAAACAATGCAAGAGTCAGAGGAAGGGGTGGATTGTTGTGGAATGCTACTTTTCAGGCATGACATGGCCATTGTACTCATGAACTCACAGTAGCTGTCATTACCTGCACAAGAATTGTATAGGATTGAGCCTCTGGGCATCCAGTCACGGAGGGGAGAAAGACTAGCAAGGTCACCTCACTCCCACAGTTAATGGTTGATGAGTGCAGGGGGGTGAGGAGCATTTTCTTTTGTGGTATCACCACTGATAAGATGCCCATTCTCTTGTAAATAACCCTTCACCTTCCTATAAGCAACCCTAATGATATTCATTAGGTCACAAAATTTAAAAAGGCGTGGAAGTCAAAGAGACACTAATTGTGAAGAAGGAGATTAGTAGGAGTGGGAGAGGGACAAGAGAGGGTAATAAGAATTAATATAATTGAAATATATTATATGCATGTATGAAAACGTCATAATGAAAGCCAATCTATTACCTGGGTCAGACATTGTGCTAAGCACTATAGACAGAGGGAATAAGGAAGGCAGAGGGTCTATTCTTCTGGGGCCCATTTAGTCTAGCCAGCCAAATCCATGGCCATGATATAATACAATTAATAAAATGAGCTGTGTAAAAAGAAATTAGTCCTTGGAGGAAAGCATGAAGAGAAAGAAATGAGGGACATGGGAGAAACGATGGTACTTACAAATTTTACATGAGGCAGCAGAGATTAAGATATGTAAGTTCCTTTATAAGATAGCAGTATGGGGAACTGTAAGATTATAGGCCATAGCAATGAAAGGTGGAGGGGAATGAGACAGACGATATTACTCATGCCTGTATAAAAAACACATACCACTTTCTTAATGTATAGAAACTTAATTGTGTCTCAGCACAAGCTACTTACATTGTGAAACAATGGCTGTATTTCTTTCTCTTCCAGCAGTGTAAACTGTAAACTGTAGTGAAATATAACATTAGTCCAATAAATATGGATCTCCTTCATCCCAATTCCACCAAACAGCTTAGGCATATACAACACATGTTCTTAAACTTTACTCACAGCCAGATTAAGAGTGTGACATTCCTAGAATTTGACAGCATATCAACCCAGTGGTGTTTGGATTGATGAGAGAGAAGAACACAGGATTTTAAGAATTGCTGAGGTGAGAAAAGTCAAGCTTCAAGCTCTACTGCTTGCCTCCTAACTAGTGCTCAGCCCACAGGGGAGCTCATCTATTTGGGGGTACCATGCTCTCTCTGAAAAAAATTGGCACTAACACTGAACTTTCCTTTCTAGCTCATTCTTCCAATGGAAATACATCTACTATACTTCAGAATCTCTAATAAAAAGAATCTAAATTAGAAGCAATCATCAGGTTTTATGTTTTAGTTTCTCTCTAATAGTTATTCTAAGTGATGCTTGTTGTCATCATAATTGAAGTTTTTCCATAAGTCATTCATAATCCTAGCATGTTGATCAAATGAATCTAATCAAAATGTGCCAGCTTTCAGGGAAGGTAGCTGAAAGACAGAGACTGAAAAAGATGTTGGTATAGAATCTTTTAGAGGTTCAGTTCCCTAAAGGAACAATTCAGGGTAGGATATATTTTATGGGAAGAAAATTGTGCCATGCTTAATTGAGGATCTGAGGCAAATAATTTAAAAGTAAGAAACTATTGATATAAAGCCCAGAAGCAAGAAGGAAAACATGCAGAGAATAATTGGTAAAGAATGGAAGAGAGGCCATGCAGTTTCCCTATTTGTATAATATACATTCTTCAGAATTTGAGTCAAGTTGATGAAAATAAACCCTGGGCTATATGCCAGGCACAATGTAGACTCAATGAGCAGAAAGGATGACTTGAGAGTTTCACTATTGTTTAAGCACTAGGGGCATTAAAAGAATTCTAGATAAATGAAACAATCTACTGAGGCAACTATATTAAATGGTTTAGCTTTTAATGACATATATATTTAAATCATTCTGAGTTCTCACTTAGAAATATTTAAGTTTCCCAAGCACTTCTTGTCTGAAAATGCCTTTAATTTTACATACAGGACCAGAGGAAGACTTTATAGCAAAATCCAAATCTCAAAAAAAAAATTAAAAATAAAAGTCAAAATATTATATCAAGACTATCCAATAAGTAACATCAGTTTGTGTCACTGAAAAGGTGCACACAAGCTGGACCTCAGTTATAGGAAATAGACCAGTACATGCTATCTCTCATTGTATTTTAAAGGGTTACTTAAAAAATTAATTGTTCAGTGTGATAGTGTGTGAATATTTTATTCAGTACATCACGGGGCATATATTTAGGAAGAGTCACATGGCACAGAACAACCAGAAAAACTGAAGCAGAGGTGTCCTCTGGCTGAGTTATTAGTCCCATAGTAATTAGTCCCCTTAAAGTTGATCGTTACTCTCATATTAACTTTATTGGTTGGTATTCATTTTATAAGATAATTAGAAATTTTAAAATGAAAATGAATATAATTTTAAATGCATCATATCTGTGCTGGATAGTTTTTTATCAATTTGACACAGACTAGAGGGATCCTCAAATGAAGAATTACCTCCATTAGACTGTTCTGTGGATATGACTATTGGACATTTTCTTGATTGATAATTGGTGTAGGAGGGCCCATCCCTGGGAAGATGGGCCTGGGTTATCTTATAAATTAACTGAGCAAGCTGAGAGAAGCAAGTCAGTAAAGAGCATTCCACATTCCTCCACAATCTCTACTTCAGTGCATACTTCCCAGTTCCTGCCCTGCTTGAGTTTCTGCCTTAGCTTCCCTCAGTGATGGACTGATTCAGATATATATGCCAAATAAACCTTTTCATTCCAAAATTGGTTTTGTTCAGTGTTTGATCACAGCAACAGAATGTAAACGTGAGCAGAAATTGGTACCAGGAGTGGGGTATTGCTGTGGCAGACCTGACCATGTTGTTTTGGGGAAGGGTTATGGAAGTTTTTAGAACTTTGAGCTGTTGTGGGAATTTGGAAGATAATGCTGAAAGAAATGCAGATGATGGAAGCCTGGTCTGTGAAGGTCAGAAGAAACAAACACTCTATCAGGGCCTTTGTGTGACATGTTTGGATCAAGCATATTTGGAAGTAAAACCTTTTATGCTTTACTGAAAGAATAGATGCTTGACAGCTGTGGCTGAAAAGTCAGCTGTGATTAAGTAGAGACCAGCATCACTGAGGTGAAATTTTCTGGGGAGAATTTCCTCTGAGTCAGCACATAGAACCTGGTCTAGAGGCTTCATCTCAAGCTGGCAACTGAACATAGTAATGTGAAGAATCTTCCATATTGGACAAGTTTAGGTGGCAGGAAAGTTTCAGGATTGAAAGGGTCATGGAGAGAAGCTAAGACTTGGAACCATGTGACAGGGTTGAAGTCCTGCAGACAGGCCAGGAGGCCATTGGTGAAGGTGCAGATTCAGTTGCAGTAGAGATCCTAGGATATTGGTGATTCCAGGACTGTGGGACATCTGCCAAGGACAGTTGCAGCTCTAGAATGGAGCCAGCCTGCGCCTACAAGAAAATCTCTGTGTGTGGATGGCAGAACTGGAGAAGTGGGACGTCCCAAGACCTTTGGAACCTAGAATATCATGAATGAATCCCAGATGTTAGACATTAAGCTTTGTATGCTGTTGGATTTTCTGTTCTTTGATTTGATTCTAACTGTG